TTCGAGATATCCGCATTCGAACTTCACATTGATGCCATCACAAAAAGTGTGGGAGATGGGATTTTAACATGGTAATGTTACATTCCCATATTCCACACATTTGTGATGACTTTAATCTGAAGTCCAATCGCGGATATCTTGAAAACTAGGCCGAATTTCGGGAAACAGACTTCAGGGTAGGTCATAGGTGGGTTAGGTCTAGTGAAAACCGTTTTGTGTAAAAAAGGGGGCAGTCTTCCTTTAAGCCAAAAAAAAAATCATCAAGAAAATAAACAGTTGTCCTGCCCTCTGCTATTAATGTATTACGCCATTGGGATATGTGAAACGTCATTTCTCCATCGTGCAGGAAGAAGCATGCGTGGGAAATACCTTCCTACACTTGGCCTTGGCTGATGTTTTGGCCTGACCTCGTATTTATCGAAAATACCTGGGGCCTAACTAAACATTCGCTAAAAAAAAATCAGTCAGATCTAAACATTATTCCAGCCCTGGCCAGGAATATATTGTCTACGATGATCGGCTCGAGCCCAGTTATATAGAAGAAGAGTATTCCCCCCCCCCGGCACGATGTGTTGCTAGCGGAACACCTCATCCGAAAAGGTGTGCTTGTGCCCGTTCAAAACTCACCGTCTTTGTCAGCCGACTCCACGTTTATCATCGTCTGGGCGTGAGTACTTCTTCGCTGATGTCTGTCGCTGTATGTCTGATTTTGTGCAGGACATGCTCCTTCACGTCCTCCTCGAGCCCCATGATTATTCCCAAGTCAGTCCACGCCTGGAAACATCGCAAAATCACATTAACCCGCGAGTTGCTGGGGGGGGGCGTTAAACGCCCCCACTTTTTTCGCCGGGCCATAGCATAAAAACGGCGCGCCGCAGGCGCGCCAAATTTTGGGTACCTGTAGGGAATTGATTGAAGTTTATTGTGACAAAGTTTCAAAAAAATCGGTCGGAAAATTTTTGAGATATCGAGGTTTTAGTGACGTCATGATTTCTGAGTTTTCGACCAAAAACGGCATATGTTCAAAAAATCATATAAAATCACAGAATAGACATACAGATATGCCGTAAACTCCATTAGACTGCCAATACCATGATCAATCAAATGGCTATCTTCGATTATTGATTATCGTTCCGCATTATCCATAATCTTGAACTGAATCTTGGCAATTTCTCGTGACTACTTCACGACCATGATACATGCATTTCTTAAATTGAAGTTTTTGAGCCAAACACGTACACATATGATAAAATGAATGTCACCATCGTGTTCTACGCCCCAAATTACATTTAAAACATGTGTCACAGGCTGCGAATATCAGTTTTGATTTTCGGGGATATGTGCCTACCCGGTTGACCTGACCTTGACCCTGACCTATGCTTGACTGACCCCTACATGGAGCTGACACTCTCGTAGGCCTTATAAGATGGATTGTGCACCGTTTTGACAGAGTTTATGGCGAGAGGCGCCCATTGCGAAGTCCTGAAGTCCATGCTACTGAAAGCCCGATTTCAGGTGTTTGACCTGACCTTGACCCGACCTGTGACCTCAAAATTCAACTTTAAAGTACTCATCTGAAGCGTCTCGTCGCGCTCTTTCGTTTGCCGCCTCGTGCGTTTCGCTGCGCCTATTGGTTCTCGAGTTATCGGCTGGGGGCGTTTAACGCCCCCCCCCCCCCCCAGCAAACGGTGGGTGGCGAAATACCCCAGCAACTGCCGGGTTAATGAATGGAATTAACATCAAGCAGCATCAAGTGAACATTATATCATTGTGGAAGGTCAGGTCAGGTAAGGTCAGGTCAGGTCAGACAAGGGAGCCCAGTTCTGACTCTCGGGCGGGCGCAGACTCAGAGCCGACTGCAGCGCGTGGGGTAACCGGTCAGATGACCCCGCGGGCGGCGACGGCGGCGACGGCAGGAGGCAGAAAGTTGCGCTATCATGCCATACCTAGGTATTTGGAGCATTTTCATACAGTGTCCCTGAGTGAGATGCTTATATTGTTACTTACACTGTGAGTTGCATAGTTTAAAAAATATCACAAAATCTATAACTTATTAGCTCTACATAACAATCTTGATCACAACTTGACCTAAATCAGAGTAATTGACATGGCTGTTTCCCCTGGTTTCAATGGCCTTGAGCATGTCATGGGTGACAAATTGTCTTCCAGAATTTCATCATCGCGGAAATCTTCGTCCGCAAATCTACGTCAACGCATTTCTTGGATTGTATGGTCATACCACGGATTGCTGTAAAGTCATACTAACAAAACACAAAGTATACAGTAATTTCAGCTTACCTTCGAGGACTGGGACGCTTGCTCGGTTCTCTGACAGAAGGCCTTGGTTCTGACGACTTGAGCACAATGGCGGTCGCGAATGGTCGCGAACTGCAGAGACATTCCGAAAATATTATTCTTGGAATAATACTGTGCTCGACGAATAGATTAATGACTTTTAGATTAGTTATGTCACAACGGAATAGGATTATCAAGAAAGTGATACAGTATTGCTTGAAATACGCTCCCGAATACTCCCGAAGAATAATGTTAGTAATGCTACCACATAATATTACTCCATGGTTATAAAATTATTGTCCGGACATGATAGTTTTATCACGAAGGACGTAATTTTTACACCTACATGAGAATAGTTTTATTCTGTCGCGTCAATTTAGCAGCCGTAATGGAGTATAAAAATTACCCTAAATACTCCACAGCGGTTTATTTTTATGCAGTTTTGATAAAAGTACTCTAGCTGTCAATTTTATTACCATCTAATGGGAGTTCAGCACAAATATATTCCAATGACCTTGTTTATCACTGTGAAATAAGCTAAAATTACCCCATGCCTCTTTGAGACTGATATAAATTTATAACCCGAAAGAATAAAAAGGACACGTGATAAAATTAAAAGATAAAATTAGCACTTGCTAAAACACAAAAGAGATGATTATAGTACCAGGTTTAAGAATAACTTTCAAAAACGCCCTTAATGCAATGCAGAGAGTAAGAATACGCTACAAAACATAATCATTATATGCCATTGGTGCGTGATTATTCGCCAAACTGGAGTGGAAAAACTCCAAAAATAACTCTCTAGGTGTAAGTTTTTTTCAGTGTACGTAAGATACGGTTGGCAGCTTTTGCTGCCACTTAAATATAACGCACGATTGGCGATACTTAGAGAAATTCATGTCACACCTAAGCTCTTCCCATTGATAATCACACATTTCTTTACAACAATCAATAATAAAAAGGTAACATTTATTCACACCACCTTTGCAACTGACTTCTTTGGTGTCCGCCGCACGGCCGCAATCGCGCGCCCCTTGCAACCCTGCGATAAATTGTTTATTTCTCAGCACATTCGCTTTCTCGATCAATAATTCGGAGCGCACATGACGTGCATTGTTTTGGTCTTCCGTTCGGGTGAGAACTTTGAAAGTTCACCGCAACGTTTAGGAATGCGGCGCTATTTTGTCCTGTGGCAGCAAAAGCTGCCAAGCGTATCTAATGGGTTAAGTCGCCCCAGTACTAATTGCGGCGCCGGAGATAATCGCGTCAATTATCGCCGATTCCGCTCCAAGATGTTACCGGGCGGCGTCTCGCATCGGCGCCTCCTCTCATCACCTGCTCTTATCGCGCCTCCCACAGAGCTATATTTAGGCCCGGAGCGATACCACGCCCAATTGAGGAACATCTGTCTTCTCAGCCCGATCGGACCGCCCAGTGTGAGCTCATGAGGAAAACTACGTCTATCGCAGCAGCCGCAGTTCGCACCTTACAAAAAAGTATAAAGTTCACATGCTTTCTCACGCATGTGCCTATTGAGTATGAATCAGCAGGTTCAGTGTCGCTTATTAGAGCGTAAATGGCAGCTAATGGCTCACCTATAGGCCCGGTATGTAGTTTCGTGTTGTTCTCGTTGTATTCACCCGAGCCTGACCTATACCGGCGGTGCCAGCGCCAGTGCTAAACGCGCCCGTCAAGTGTGAAGGCTGACCCCCCCCCCCCCCTCAGGGTCGCCGGCTGACCGGAAGGGGCGGGTCGGTAGTGTGTGCCCCCACGGCCGACCCCTCATACACTCAGCCGTGACGTGACGTGAAATGTGACGTGACGTGAAATGTGACGTGACGTGCCTCTTTAGCCGTGACGGCGTGACGCAGGGCAGGGCGGTGATTGCGACCGATCGGCTCATTTCCGTACATTAATTAAACACTATGAATCTGCCTTCAGTATATCTCAGTCTTTGTTGGTGTGAGGATGAATCGAATGAGAATAGCTCTCCGTCAATCGAACGTTCCACATCTCAGCCGTATCTCGAATCCCTCCGCTGACCGCTCCCATCCGATTGACTGCCGGTACCATACCATCTGGTTTGGCTCAACGTCCAACAACCACAGCTTATGGTCGGAGTGGTCAGCGCAGTTCCCAGCCATTCTCTCACGCTACCCCCTCGGTTCGTGTAACCATGGCAACCGTGGCGTCGTTAACCTTAGCGCTGGCGGAAACGGCTCTGTGGTCCGTCAAAACGCCCGAAAACCACGCAGGCACCCACCCGGCACCCAAAACTCTATACACCCACTCGGCCCACCCCAGTGTTTATTGGTTCTGCAGTCTAGCCGACCGTGTGTTTTGCGCACTCCTCCATGGTCCATTTTCCCATGGGAATATCCGCGTGACGAGCATCTGGTTGATATCTAGGCCCCGCGATTATTTTTCCCCAGTGATGAGAGGTGTTTGTGTGGAACCGCTTATCTACCGTAACAGTACTTGGCAAGTTACATAAACGTAAGCGTGGTGTGTTTAGTTCGCACCAGGCCGATCGCTCCTTTACGGCAACTGTTTGTTTTTGTATCACTAAAACTGGTTACTGACTGTCTTAGCTACACAGCGTGGGAGCCGTAACCAACATTTTGACCGTGCTAGCTCAGTTGATGGCTAAAGCGTTGACGGCGACCCCGTCTTCTAATCTAACCCGTCTTCTCTCTTTTCCCCAGGCGTTGAAGAAAGCCACCGAGGCCAGCAAGGAACGTCGCCGCTTCCTGCGTATGTCGAGCACCAACCTGTCGACTCTGAGCTCTGGACCGGGCACTCCGGCTGCTCTGAGGTCTTCCACGGCTCTCAGCGATTCCAGCCCGGCCATTGACCGTCTTTGCGAGAGGATAGAGCGCGAGGTGTGGGGTGGCAGCGGCGGCGGATCGGCCGGCCGGCTCATGAGGCGACAGAAGAGTGAGCTAGATGCCGGAATGGTGCTGAGGAGACAGATGCACTATGCCAGTCAGAAGCGGCTCAACAGGCATAGCAGTGAGTAGGGGAGGGGAGGGAAAGAGAGAGAGAGGGAGAGAGGGAGGGAGGGAGAGAGAGAAAAACAGCAGGGCAGAGCAGAGCAGGAAAGGGCAGAGCAAAGCAGAGCAAAGCAGAGCAGAATAGTGACAGTAGGCACAGGGAAACCTACAGCTAACTCCGACTGTAGCTAACTCTGATATGATCGATGTGGGAGCGCGGGAGGCGGACCCACCGCGCAGCTGTCAATGAAGCGTTTATCAGATGCCCCATGGCCTGTGCTTTCCTGAGCGCCACCACCGTATGACGTGGCGGGCGGGAAAAACGGTCATTACTCAATCAGATAATGTCCACAGTCCGCTGACCTCGTGCGTTATCAATCGCGGGCTTACGGTATGGTTCGTTTGTTACAGTGATGCCGGAGGTGGATATCTACGATACGAAATCGAAAATGCGGAACGACTCTCCGCGTCATAGTGCCAACAGGAGACACAACGACTCGCTGGACTCGGCAGGTGAGAGCTTTATCCCACCAGGGTAGAGGCAGAGCGATGGCGCCACTACTCGGGTCCTTATAGTGGCTGCTAACTCATTCTTTAGCTAACTCTGTGCTTTTTATTTATTATTTGTGGATAAACAATGAAATAAGTGCACGGCTGATTTATCGTATTATTTTATTGTTGTAGCTTTGTGACGCCTGCCAAATCAATACCATTTTCCGTTTGTGATGTTTGTGATGCTATTTAGTATGTAGACATACTTCATATGATATCTGAATCCCGCTGACCTCTGACTGACGCCGCCTTCCGTCCGCAGGACACTCTCCGTCCACCACACCGTCAAAGTCGTCCATGAGCAGCACAGAGGGCGCTGAGGTGCTGCTGCGCCGCGCGGCCGCAGGTGGCGCTGGCGGCAGTCCCGCGTTCGCTCCAGATGGCACCACCGTCGTGCTGCGCACCAGCTCTGTACGGAGGCGGGGTCGGGGTCGCGCGCCGGCTGGGGTGCACGGTGACCAGATCAGGCCGCACAGCATCCTGTGTGACACGCCTTCGGACCCGACTGAGGTGGTGCTCAGGAGAAAAGGTCAGTGGTGGCTCCGGCGGCAGCGCTTACTCTGCTCATCATGGACCGAAATCATACCACCTTTCAGAGACAAGCAACCAGCAAGTGACACGTTATATTAGTAAACGGTCACCTCTCATCGTTCATTTAACTCTAAATAATGCATTTAATTTCTAACTTTTATCTAACTCATGTCAACCTTGCGTTTGCCATGTCTATAACGAACGTCGCCGCCTTCCTACCGTGTCGCCCTCGACTGACGTTCTCCCTCCGTGTCTCTTCCACAGACCACGCCAGCGCCGTGCGGCAGGAGGTGAAGGCGCAGAACCGGCGCAGCTGCGACCTGTCGCTACTCAAACGGCGCTCTGCTTACCTGACCCAGTACGAGTACTGAGGCCGAGTACCGGCCGCGAAAACCCAGCTCTAGGCCACGAGCTCAGTACTTGGACGACATCGCAGCAGCGGCATGACTCAGTGCTCCAACTGGAGTGATTGGGCTCAGTTGTCAGACGCCTCAGATTGCGGAAGCTCGTGTCGGGACATGGATCTTTTCGCTAATGGAACCTGGAAAACTACGACGGTCAGTTGTGTTTCCCGTGAAGTGAGCGACGGTGAAGGACAGTGCTGCCACCTGTGCTGCCATATGTGCTGCCACCGACGCATGAGGTGTTACACCTGCTTTCCGCCGCTGGAATAATTATGAACATGTAACGCCTGCCAGTATGAATATTTGTTTAGAGTGTGTGACGTGTGTGCAGTCAATGCTGAGGCTCAGATCAGCGGACCAGCTCAGTCTCAGTCTCAGTCTCAGTCTCAGCTCTGACTGAGGTCAGCGGATCGATTCGCTCAGTCGAAGCCAGTCTGGGGTCAGTTCAGGCCAAGACGGTCGCGATCCCAGGATGGCTAAGTATTTAGGCTAAATTATCGGTTTCCCGCTGACGTACGTGACTGCTGTTTCTTATATTATCTTGACGGACGTGGTACCTATGTTTTGTCACAAGAGACGTTTAATTGATCGGACATTTGTTGTATCGGGACACAATCACGACTTAATGATTTAATCGGACAATCGCCAATGTATTTACTATGATTTGTGTATGCTTTTGGTATGACGAAGATGATGGTTATATGATCGTTTGATGTGATTTGGCAATAATGTGTATGTTCTGAATGTGAAACAACCACTTGCAGCTGTTCTCACACGATATAATGCAAAATAATGGCACGTCACAAATTTTGTCACTCGTCGTTACCATTCGTTTTTATTACGCTATCTGGTAAACTACTGCAGTGTTCACTCTTTCACGGTAAAAGACCTCTGTAATGCTGGATATATGTAACGTCTTACTGATCAGGATAATCCGTGTCTCTCTGGGTTTTGTGCTGATGTGCTCCTTGTCTTGTTTGTCGTATACATACTCCGAAGGAAGTCAGAAAGTGATATAAGTTCGGTGTTGCCAATATACTTATTGTCTTATTCCACTGTATTTGTGCAGGTTTTCTTTGTAGAGCCGGGTATGACCGATTCATCTTCGTACAATCACGCGCCTTTAGTAAGGCAGGAAAAGCGCGAACAAATTATTTTACGGCTGCGTCGCACCGGGTGATTCGATCGTTGCATGGTCAGGGTTGGGTGGTACGCACATTCCCTTCAATGAGATGGAGACCTTTGGCTAAATCTCACAATACATTCGCAAGAGAACTATATACATACTTAAAAGAGCCATCAAATGTTTTTTGGCGATATTGGAACGTGCTATATTAGTTCACGAGCTATGAGCCAGGGACTTCTAAAGAACATCGAAATCGGGACATTCTTGCCTTCGATGACCCCTAGCCCGGCCGGGCCCGGGGGTAATCCCAACCACCGCAGCCCGGGGGGGGGCGTTTTTCGCCCCCCTGTCTAACTCCGTAAATAAGGGAGCTACGGAAACAAAAGCGATACCAAACGAAAGGTCCTTACGAGACGATTCTAATGCACCTAAAATTTTTGACCTCAGGTCAATTTTCAAGGTCAGAGGTCAAGGTCAAAGGCAAAAACCGCCACATGTGTAGTGATCTCAAAGTAAGCCTTCTAGAGGACGGCAGGCTGCATCAAACCGGCAAAATTGGCTGTCAAACGAAAGAAGAGAATCTGAGGATTCTGAAAATGTGCTCAAAGTGAAAGGTCAAGGTCAAGGTCACGCTCAAAATTGACCTCAAACTTGGCACTTTTTCGCATATCTTGCGTGCTAACTTCCAAGATGTTTTGAAATGTTTTGAGGCTTATCAGTTCCCTATTTATGGTTCATCTTACGATACAAGGCTGCTAAAAGGTCAAGGTCACAGAAGAGTATCCCTGCTAGAGGCTATTTCACTGATTCAAGTTAGTAATAATAAATAAGACAATTTTACACACCGGAAGCTCTAAATGAAGGCTTAGAGGAAAATAGATGCCAGATGCGTGATCAGCGGGTACAAATCCATCATAAACGACCTTTCATGTGTCAAGGTCAACCAGCGGTCATTCGAGGTCACATGAGGTCAACATAAAATTTGACCTTTTCCGAACAAAATATATATCATTCGACGCGGCTTCACAAGGCGAATGCGATGGTATTACTGCCGTAGCTCTAGGACCATTTTTGTCGAAGTTATTTGCGAAAAACTAAAACCACATTTCGGGGTCGTTGACCTGACCTCTGACCTCAGGTCACCAAAACTATTTTTTTATTTTTCTCTAGGTCAAACGCTACACAACCGTGCTCGTAATTTGTCTTTATCTCTAAAACTCTATTTTTAGCAGCTATTTGAAGTTTGCGTCTGTGACGCCGAAGTTTGCCGTGCAGGGGTCTAGAAAAATGGACCTTGTGACGTCATCAAGGGGGCTAGGTCCAAATTTTTTACTTCAGAAGATGTCAAATTGATGGGAGAAAAGGTACTGAAAGTTTCGCCTTCCTATCCCTAAGCGTTCGGGAGCTATCGCAAATATTCGCCAGGGGGGGCGAAAAACGCCCCCCCCCCGGGCCCGCGAGGGCTAGGGACCTAACCTTTGACCAGACCTAAAATAATCACCTGAGCACTTTATACGTTATTTTCGACGCTCTTTCGAACACAACTTATCGCCCTCGCGTACCAGGAGCTGGGCTATAAAGGTGCATATGTGGTCGACTCCAGAATGATGTTCCACTTTTCACAGGCAATTATTGGCCTGGAGTGGTAGGCTGTGGCGCATCACACAGGCTGAGTTCAGAAATTATAACTTTGTCCCAAAGCTCACAATCGACACACTTAATTGCGTGATAAACGGCACAACTTTGGGCTCCGGTCAACTGATAGCTTCTGAGGAGTGGAACATCATTCTTAAGTCGACTATACTCCCCCTCGTTGCGTTACGTCAGACCATTGTCAACATGGCGCGGATAATCACTGTTCGATCACGGTTACTATATAGATCATGGTTGAAATGAATGTCATCTGACTCAGGCCGCCAGGCCAGGCCAAGGTCCCATCTCCATACTAGCAATGGGTTAGGTACCGTTTTCTGTTACGCAGGCAGGGACCGCCGCCAGAGCAGCACAATAATTGATGGAACTTGTTTACCAGCCCACGGCGCTCCCACTCTGGGTGACCTTTCCCGGCGAGTGCTGGCAAAGCACCTGCCACGATGCAATTCGCCATTTCCAATTATCTGGTGAGAGCTGCCTCCGGCCCTGGCAATCGACCGTGCTCATACGCCGCCCGGGGGCTCTTGCCAGAACTCGCCGTGTAGCCGCCACCGCTACCGCTGCTACCGCCACCGCGCTGCTACCGCTACATCTACCACCATCGCAACTGCTACCTCCACTGTTACCGCCATCTCTACTGCCGCCTCCACCGCTTCTGCCACTGCCACCGCCACCGCCACCACCTTCAACAGCAACCCGTCCCATCCTGACGCCGTATCAATGTTCGTATATTATTCTATTTTATCGTTCCAGTTCAACCGTGTACCATGACTGAAGTGCACCATCAGGGCTACTACATTATACATACATACATACGTCACCGTCTGCCCACCATCCTCTTCCCATCAGTGCCCGTCTTACCACCACCGTCTTCCCTACACCTTCTCTCTAGTGCCGTCTCCCACCACAGTCCCTATAAACGTCTCCCACAAAACACAGCGCTAACCGTCTCCGCCAAACTCAACAGTAACCGTCTCCCACAAAACACAACAGTGACCGTCTCCCACAAAACACAACAGTCGCCGTCTCCCATTGAATCCAGCAGCTTCCGTCTCTCATCAAATTCAACAGCTGCCCCGAATCTACAGCTCTCACCAAAACTCAATTGGCAAAAGCCACCTACCACCAAACCCAATAGCCTCAGTCTTCCACTAAGCCCCGGCATGTCGCCACCGCGAGGCAATCGTTCTCATGCTGAGGCGGAGCAATCCATTACCCTAGAGGCTCGGAGCTCGGCTGAATGTGAAAATTCTCGCCGAATGTCGCCGGCCGCCACCAACGCCTCTGTGACTGTCACTGGTGGCCCCGGGGCTATTCAGACTGACTGCGAGCGATATCTATTTTCCGGCTGTCAGGTGAAGGAGGACACCCAGTCACCGCTGGGGTGGTGTTTGGAAAAGGGATCAACGAGACGGCTAGGCTTTTTGTAGACTAAGAAAGAGATACCCATGCTGATGTAGTACATATATGCGTCTTGTCCTATGAGGCACGCTAATTCTCCCGGCGTAAGCCATGACTTAAAAAGATGACTTATCGCTCCATTTCCAATAAATTAAATGACAGAGTCATTCATAATGAGGACATGTCAGTGCCAACTGCTTTCGAGCTTTCCGTTAATTCGGTGCATCTTGGCAAATATAACATGAGGTTAGACGTTCATTCCCTTTGGTAAGTACGTATGCATTTACGTAAGGTCAACTGGCGTAACCATTGCAATTGCAACTTGCATGTAACTTCCTTGAGTTAATTTACGATTTGCATGTTTATGTTGTCTTGGGCCATCACTTTCCAATCTATCCTGACAATATACGACCATTTATTTGAAAGTCGGAAGTGAAATCGTTACGTTCATATCAAATGTCAAAGCTATAGACGACTGACGGCTTTCCGGGACCGAATCTCAATATGGCTCGGAAGTCCATCCTTCTCCCGGGAGAAGATCGTTAAAATCGCTATGACGAAAGACTTTTTCAAAAGAATGATGGCCGTGATTGGACAGCACTTCACTGAATCGTGACATTTCAACGAAGTAAGAAGTTTTAAATATTTATTTTTCCTCAAATGGTTAACCGACAGTAGCGCTCAAACCTCAGTTCCATAGAACGTTTCTAACATTTTATAGGCGTTTCTAACATTTTATAGGCACGGATCCCCCCAGCCATAGGCTGTGGGATCCGTGCTATCGTAAGTTATATCGGACGTGGCTGCGAAACTTCTCTCGGTACGAAACTTCTCTTTCTAACATTTTATAGGCGTTTCTAACATTTTATTGGCACGGATCCCCCCAGCCATATATCCCCTTCCCCAGGACCCTTGGACTCATCAGCAATTTCTTCGAATCAGAGAATGGACCCACAGCATATCAATGTCTCCATAGACGTCCCGGCAGCGACCTCCTCAGAATCAGGGCGGCACCCCTTTCCCCGTAGTCTCAGTGCAATATCTCTGTCCCTGAGGGATCAGCACGATAGCCATGAGACCACACTCCACCACCCACACGGTCACACATTATCAACTCCCCGGAGAGCCTCCGGAGAATCTCTGAGAGGTCGTCCGTTACCCGTCAGCCCCGTGCTGGTGTCAGCCGAGCCTCTGAAGGTGGGCCGTGCCCGCTGAAGTTTGCCGTGCCTCTCCTGGGTAGGAGGTGTGTGGTTGGATCGCCGCTGACCCGGCCCGTACCCTGCGACGTCTGAGAGGCTCGCGGCGGCGCCCGGAGTGCCGCGCCTTCTGTCGACGCCCTGCCGCCGGCGGCGATGGCGCCGACCCTAGCCGACATCGATCGAGGGCGGGGGCGGGGGCGGCCGCTGCGCCGCCGCCGACGTCTCCGACGAGCTCGGGCAGGCCACGGCGGTGACTCGGCACGGAGAGACGTGCGGAGAGGCCATCCGAGACCGCTTCAGGTGACCGTCAGCGGCGACAAGAACGGACACCATGTCGGACCACCATCCGCCGTCGGACGGCCGCCGCTACAGGTAGGTCCCGCCGGCAGGGTATCCTCTACCCCTTCCTTCCAGTGTCCCTCAGCCCGTCCAGACGCCAACCTAGTGACGTCAGCAAGATTCAACAGATGGAGACTCCAGAGGGAGTGAAGTGGAACAGATCCAATCAGACCAGATAAGGCTGGACGTATTTCGGAAACACTGACCGTATTTGAAAGAAATGCTTCCCTGAAATCGATGCTAGTTATAAAACACCAAGGCAAACAATGCAATTTTAGCGATAGCTATTCGCTTTTCATTTGTGTTTTAGCTGAAACCTGCGCACATTTTCGTACCGATCTCATTCTCATTGTTAGCCTCGGAATGTATTGATTGTCACCTTATTATGGGTCATTTCCTTTCAAGCCGTTCGCCGACCCCTGGGAAGAGGAATTTAATAACGTTGGTGGGAGCGCCAAACGTCCCCAGAGCACGCAGTCATGGTGCGCCGCGCCAGCCCTTGCAGTAATAGGGATATTGCTTGATACCGACCGTGGCGGTAACGATAATTGAGTTACTGCTGGCATGGGAAGACCAAATCAACATTAAAACAGCACCACAAGGCAAAAGATAATGCAACACGGCCTGTAATATTGCAATGAACTAATCCTCGACTTGATCTTAAGATCAAAAGGAAACGTTTCAATGCAATTTATTTTACGCAAATAGCTCAGTTGATAAGCTCCAACTTCTCCGCAGGAGCCGTCTGCCGCGGGAGCACATCCTAGGCGACGACTTCAACATGTGGTCGGTGCTGAAGGGCGGCATCGGCAAGGAGTTGACGAAGGTGCCGATGCCGGTGAGCTTCAACGAGCCGCTGAGCTTCCTGCAGCGGATGGCCGAGCTGATGGAATACTCGGAGCTGCTGCAGCTCGCCGCCGGCCAGGAGGACAGTGTCAGCCGCATGGAGGTCAGTCGGGTGGAGTTTAGTCGTATGGAGGTCAGTCGGGTGGAGTTTAGTCGCATGGAGGTCAGTCGGGTGGAGTTTAGTCGCATGGAGGTCAGTCGGGTGGAGTTTAGCCGCATGGAGGTCAGTCGGGTGGGGTGTATTAGTATGGAGGTCAGTCGGGTGGAGTTTAGTCGCATGGAGGTCAGTCGGGTGGAGTTTAGTCGTATGGAGGTCAGTCGGGTGGAGTTTAGTCGCATGAAGGTCAGTCGGGTGGAGTTTAGTCGTATGGAGGTCAGTCGGGTGGAGTTTAGTCGCATGAAGGTCAGTCGGGTGGAGTTTAGTCGCATGGAGGTCAGTCGGGTGGAGTTTAGTCACATGGAGGTCAGTCGGGTGGAGTTTAGTCTATGGAGGTCAGTCGGGTGGGGTGTATTCAAGCATGGAGGTCAGTCGGGTGGAGCTTAGTAGTATGGAGGTCAGTCGGGTGGAGTTAAGTTAGTCGTATGGAGATTAGTTATGTGAAGCTTAGTCTGGTATCAGTCGGAGGAGCTTATAGTCCCTGGCATAAGTCTCATGGAGGTCACCGATCAGTCGGAGGAGTTGCATAGTCCCGGTATCAGTCACAGAGGTCAATTGAATGGAGCTCAGTCTAACATCAGTCAAATGGGGTTAGTCCAGCATTAGTCGCATGGAAGTCGGTCGGAAAAGCTCAGTCACAGCACCAGTCATACGGAGCTTAGTCCCAGCATCCATATTATGGACGTCACTCGCTGAGTCAGTTCCGACGAGACGGTCGCATGGAGCTTAGTCACGGGATAAGTCGCATAATGAGATAAAGTCTTGCATCAGTCGAAAAGGGATTGGTCTCGGTACCAGTAGGATGCTAATGGCCAAACTTTCAAATGGATTGCAATATAATAGCTACATGTCATAGAAGATCCCTTATTCACCCACATCTACATAACTGTTCTGTTTTCTGAGGAAACGCGTCATGTGGCCGTTGCATTTCGCTCTTTACGTGAGCCGTGTTCATTTTCAGTTGGTGGCGGCGTTCGCTGTGAGCGGTCTGGCCTGTAACTGGGGCCGCACTGCCAAACCGTTCAACCCACTGCTCGGCGAGACCTACGAGCTGGAGAGAAATGGCTTCAGGTGAGAGCTCTTACCCAACGACAGCTGACGCAGACCTCACTCACAACTCGGCCGACATCGATCGGACTCACCACAGACAGCACACAACAAACTCCACCTCACGAACAGCGACTGTGAGTCAAACACAGCCGATCGAACATTTCACAATTAAGTGGCGGCCCGGTCACGTAGTGCAAACACCTGCACACCATGCAAAGCAGCTGCTGCGGCACGAAACGACATCCCTTCACGAGCCAGCTGAGTGGGGATTCCAAAGCGGCCGTGACGAATGCGGGGCTTCTCTGGTCTCTGAGGAGAAACCTCAAGTGAACAACGATGAATTCAGCAGATTTGAGCTGATTGAAGGATATTGGAATTGTAACGGTCCTATAGTAATTGTAAGATGTATGCATTTTTACAAGTAGGTTAACAACCAAAATAATGTATTCATGAGACTAATATTTATTATTTTTACCGTCTTTAGGAGATGTTGATGAGCATATGCTGTTCGAAAAATATATTCGTTTGGTTTCATATCACAAAATACGAACAGCATGACTATTTGATTCGTTGGTCTTACAGCCCCTCCCCCCCCCCCTCCGACATGATGGCATATGACCAAGTATATCCGGTCTGACATTCTCCTCCCCCCCCCCCCCCCCTTCTGGCAGGATGGTGTGTGAGCAGGTCTCTCACCACCCACCGGTCACGGCCTTCCACGCCGAGGGCGACCAGTACCAGTTTCACGGCTCGGTTCATCCCAAACTCAAGTTCCTCGGACGTTCCCTGGAGATCAGCCCGCGAGGCACACTAGCCGTGGAACTTCCCGGGTAAGGATGGATGGTACGCTGGTTTTAGAACTAACCGGATAAGAACAGATGGGCACACTGGCTGTGCAGAGCTACCAAGGTAAGAATAGTTGGGAACTTCCATGATCAGGACAGACAGGGATATAAAAGTAGAACTATCGAGGTAAAGGCAGGTGGGCACACTGGGCCTTGCTGCGGAGCTGCCCTGGTAGGGACAGACAGGGATATAAAAGTAGAACTATCGAGGTAAATGCAGGTGGGCACACGCACACTGGGCCTTGCTGCGGATCTGCCCGGGTAAGGAGTAAAGACAGCTGGCTGACGCTGGTTTTAGAGCTGCCCGGTCAAGGGCAGATGGGATCCTGCCCAGGCAAGGACGCTGGGCTGACGGGAGCTGATGAAATCCTGACAAAAATAACCCTCCTGGCTGCTGCACAGAAATGCGAATAGGGCGCAGATATCGGCTATAACAATATCCTTCAGGTCTGATGATCGGAGGCTCAAGGCGGTGCATTAGTTGGAGATTGAAAGCTGAGGCTATACTGAAATGTAGAAGCTGGTTAGAATCATGGCTCAGTCTGATGAACTGTGGCAGTGAATTGACCGTTCTGCTGGTATGTATTGCATTTACTAAAGGCATTAGGTACATTCCGTGTTTCATCATTTGCTAAAGGCATCTCATTCCGTGTTTCAGTCATGAAGAGACGTACACGTGGAGCAACGTCAACTGCTACGTGCATAACGTGGTGGTGGGGAAGCTGTGGGTTGAGCAGCAGGGAACCATGACCATCACCAACCACAAAACAGGTCAGCAGCTGTTCTGCACATTTTAAGGATATTATTCTACAGAGTTTGATGGTGCAACGTGAGTGCGGGATTTGGAAAATGTTTCTATCAACGTGTCATTTACAACTGTTATTATCGAAAAAAAAAATATGCAGCGCATGCACCGTGAGGACACCGTTTGTTTTCAAAGTGAGCCTTGCGAGAGAGAGAAAAACGGCGCTGACATATTCAGGCCCATGTCACTCCACTTTTGATGACATCATATGGGGGCCTCAGGACAATAATGGCGCGGCGCGCCACAATCGCTTCAAAGCTACTTTCCAACAGTTGCCATTTTTGAAAATATTATTTTGAAATAAAGTTCCAAGTAATAAAAATATTGTAATAAAGTTGTGGAATAAATCGATACCATATCTAAAAACTTACTGAAAAATGATTTATTCATAGTAAAAATATAAGCTCGATGCGTTTTTACGTTGCTTTCCTGCAACTGCAGAGGGTTTTTAAATCGTCTATATCTTCAAAACAAGCCATTTCTTAGCATATTGCTGCTCTTTTTCATCGCTAGAAAATTATTTGGACTTTCCAATGACATCAATGGTTGAGCGATATGTGTAGAGTGTCACCAACAATCTTCAAATGAAGTTAGTCATTTTTACGTTGTAAAGGAATGGAGTACCCCTTTCGAGCATCAGGGGTGACGTCACTCAGGATCTGTCTCTGATTGGTCGGCGGGGGAGTGACTGTACCTTCTATAGATGGCCTTGGACATATTGTGGATGCTGCTGGACTTTTATATCTACCGTATAATCTCGACATCTCTGCTGTAATTAACTGGACGGCATGCTTAATAAGTGAACACAATATTGCGCAGGCTAAGTTACATTCCAACATTCCTATGGCTTGATTACATCCGAGATGAGTTTTCTGTCAGAAAGTGTTCACCAGTGTTCCGTTCATGAGACCAATGTGTCTTCCTTTGTAATACAATAAAGGATTCTGTTTTCCCAGGAGACACATGCACTCTCGTGTTCAAGTCATCTAGCTCCTCGAAGTCGTCTCATCGGGTAGAAGGCTTCATTCAAGACAGAATGTAAGCACGGCACAATCTGATTGTCAAGTGTTTTTATTACGATTGATCATCGGCGCGCCCTTAAGCCCCAATAAACAAACGATTATGATTGATCATAAGTTTTTTCAATGGCTTGTTCTTGTTTGATATATGAATTCCGGCGTGATTTAAATCTATAGCACAGTCTCATGCAGCTGATGCAATAATCGATAAGACAGATCCACTGCGGCGCATGGCTGTGTAGTGTGTAGTTCGCAATGTAATCCCAGCAATTTTTCCAGGAAGACGCGGCACCGGTTCCTCTACGGGAAATGGACTGAGTACCTGAGAAGCATGGACATTGAATCCTATGAAAATAATCTCTCTTTGAGCGAGCAGAGACTCGGGTAAGTCCCGAACTCAAAGTAATTTACAGAGTCATTACCTTATGATAGCAGGATCTGGTAAATACATCCGATAGCGACTTCACTTATCCAGAGATTTACGGTTATTTGTTGGACCGTGTCATGAATATTCACTGGAAACAGATGCACCGTGAGTGTGTCTTTATATTGAACGCCAGAACAGGATTTGAATTGGATTCTGAATTGCTCATTGGTAAAGCAATTTTGATCTCGAATCCCGTCGAGTCTTACGTCATTGAGTCTGCTGCTGACGTCACTGGGCTTATCCCACCCACCTGTCCTATGACGTCACAGTTCGAGCCAGGAGACGGAGCGGCGCGCGGGTCTGTCGCCGATACACGGGCCGCGGAAGATGTTCTCACGACTCAACAGCATCACTACGGCTCCATTCCGCAGTCACTCAGATAGAGAGGTAAGGCGCTCCTACCGCGTGCCGCAGTGGGAGCTTCTTTTCAGGAGCACAGGTGGATGATGAAATAACCACAATTAGGCGCTTTATTGCTATACAGTCATCATTGGAGGAGCATTTTCGCTAAAAATAAATACCTAAATATATAATTATTCGACGACTTTTCCTCCTTTCCAAAACAATTTTAACACGCGCAGTGGAAGGGGGGGGGGCGGATTTCGCCCACCCCTCCTGTTTTTCGCCAATAACTCGCGCCGCAAGTACAATATCAATGTGAAATTTCGGCTACCTGTCCAGAATTGAATTGCGGATCTTCTCGCGCAAGAAGTAAGAAAATCGGTTCACAACTTTTCTAGTAATAGCGGTGTAAAGTCAAACATCATGCCGCCGCGGCGGCGCGGCGGCGCGGCGGCCGGCGCTAGCCGTTACGCGCCGCCTGAATTGTAGACTGTGCCGGGGCGGGATGGTTCCGTCTTTACATCGCGCTCCTTACCGCTGATTATATTAGATTCGCGTCAAATTCGGTGAGAAGACTGAGAAATGTACAGGCAATCATATGGTTAAAGAATTTTGAAAATCGGCCTGTAACAACTTGAGTTATGAGTGTGTAAACACAAAATTGTGATTGCCGCGTTTCCCGCGTCGGCCGATGCCGCTTCAGCCGGCGACATCTTACCCTTAGCAGGCTTCTAACTGCCATATTTATTGTTGGATTATCTAGAAATTCACCATACATACTCACAAATGTTTGCTCTTTCGTATAGTGAAAGTTTTAAAAAAATCGGCCGGTAACTTTTTGAGTTATCGGCGTGTAAACGCAAAAAAGTCGCTAATATGGCAGATTTGACCACATTTGACCTCATTTGACCTTGAAGATATTGACCTAGGGTCATGAAATTCACACACAACAGAGTTCCCCATGGCCCCCACCTACCCTCCAAATTTCGTCTTTCTAGCTCCAGTGGGAGCTGAGATCTTAGGGGGGGCGACATCCGCCCCCCTCTTCCACTGGGCGTAGTACTCGCAACCCTTCCACTGCGCGTGTTAATAGCGAAACTATAATGCTTTCAAATATATCTGCGACAAGCCTTCATCGGTACACCAATCGAAAGACAAAACCATTTGCCGACCCATTAAAATGTGTCACCAACGCGCCAAAATACGTGCTTAGATCACACTGCCATTGACATTGCTGCTCTTTTGTCTGCCCATCACCAGTTGAACGTGGAGCATGACTCTCCGGACGACCTGTCGGCCGAGGGAGCTCTGAGCCGCAGCAGTTCGGGTCACTCGCTGGGGTCAGCCGGCAGCCGGACCCTGTGGCAGGCCGAGCCGCCGCCGGTGGACGCCCACAAGTACTACCACTTTACACGGTTCGCCATGTCGCTCAACGAGCTGCTGCCCGATATGGAGCTCTGCAGGACCGACTCGCGGTAAGAAAATCACAGAGAGAGAGGAGGGGAGAGGGAGAGAGAGAGAGAGAGAGAGAGAGAGAGAGAGAGAGAGAGAGAGAGAGAGAGAGAAAGGTGAGAAAGGGAGGGCCGATATGCATGTTTAAGGCAATGACTGTACTTCGTAATTGCACGCATAGTTTTGTTGACTTGTTATATAAGTTTCCTGATCTTCTGTAGATACATCACGTTATCATGTGACGCTGTGGATTTCGCGTATCTTGATGACTGAGCTCGGGTGATCTTGCACTGCCCAATGGCGACTTTGGTAATTTGGTCAACCACTAAGTGTCTGAGTTGTGACAGGATGTCCTACTTCAGGATTACGTCACATTTCACATAATAAATTAATGACAATATACGAAAATTAACGAATGTAAGGCTCATATTTCAGCACAATCCATCAGCCAGGCCGTATTTCTCAGATGATAACCTGCCTGAGCTTCTGATTTCCCACCCGCGCCTTTAATCCTGGATGCGCCACTCTGCCGCAGTTCCAGAGAAGACATTGGTGCTCGCTCGGCACCTCTGTGGATTCACTCGAATCGCTGAGGATCAAAAGTCATAAATATGGATGTCACTGTCTGGCTGGGGAAATCACATTATGAGCGTCCCTGCAGAAGTGTTCCCTGCGGCCTCGTGAGCTCGAGCTCTGTCCTGTCCGCCACCCGCCGCCAGCGGGACTGATGGCATGTCGGGCTGAGCCCTGGTGAATCTGCAACAGTGAATAGAATTGTGAATAGCAGCGCAGCGTGATAAGTGGGAAATCTTGTTATTATCTGTCTATCTGTTCCACAAACTTTTTACATTTTGTTGGTGCCGGTTGCACGACTGTAAATCTGAGATGCGTAGATTCGAACTTCGTAGCGAATTGAAACTGAGAAAATTTATCATAGTGGTATAACATGTTCTAAGACATTCTTTGATAAAATGTTCTAAGAATACAGATAGATAGGTACCTCTCTACACTCGTCACTTTCCATGCACTTAGTGCAAGGGCACGGCACACTGTCACACTGATCATAAAAAGTCCACTGTCCATTAAGCGACCCGCACAGTCCACCAACTGACTCCCAGTCCGCCAACCAACCGACACTCTTCCAACTACCCACACAGCTTCCCAAGCGACCCAACTGACCCAACCGTCCCACAGGCCACCGACCATCCCACAGTCCACCAACTGGCCCGCAGTCCGCCAACCAACCGATCCACAGTCCTCCAACTGACCCACACAACCTTACAAATACCCACACAGCTGGCCAACTGACCCAAGTGAGCCACAGTCCGCCGACCATCCCACAGCCCAACAACTGACCTACAGCACACCAATCGTCCCACAGTCCACCAACCGTCCTACAACCCATCAACCCTCCTAGACTCCACCGACCGTCCCCAAGCTGAGCCACCAGCCATACGCCCCTAATTACCTCGTTACGGTCCGTTCAATGGCCGTATCAAAGCTGCAGCGGCCGCAATGACGACCGCTGGGTCAGTCGGCCGGTCGGCCGGCCGGCCGCGCCCATACCAGCCAAATCGAGCCGCTGTCGCCGCCCCGAACGTATGCTGAATACTGCAGATATAGCCGCAGAGCTGGAGCTCGAAATAGTAACATTGATTACATAGGATGACAGATGCATGCAGGGGATAGTGGGCTTACACAAAGCTATTCATGACAGCAGGTCGGTGTTATCTTTGGCACAACTAATAGAATTCCTGGATATGCCACTGTATCGCACTGGCCGAAAGGTATTATTAGCTTTCTCTTTCTCTCTCTCTCTCTCTCTCTCTCTCTCTCCTCTCTCTCTCTCTCTCTCTCTCTCTCTCTCTCTCTCTCTCTCTCTCTCTCTCTCTCTCTCTCTCTCTCTCTCTGCCTCTCTCTCTCTCTCTCTCTCTTTCTCTCTTTCTCTCTCTCTTTCTCTTTCTCTCTCTCTATCTCTCTCCCCTCTCTCCCTTCCTTCCTCCCTTTCATCTCCTATTAGTATTATCAGACTAACTCATTATTTTTAGGTTTTTCAGCGTCGCTAAATCATGCTTCTGGTGTGTTAGCTGTCACTGATAAGCATCGGGCCCACTAATTTCTTGTTAGGTTTTCAATGAAAAGATGAAAAGATAAAAAAAACTAGATGAAAAACATAACTGAAAATAGCTGGGCCGGCAAAAGCGACGGCCATTCGCCGGAAGTGCTACACGGGCCGGGAGGAGGCGAGCGACTGGATAGGTAGACTGCACCGCACGGCACCAACTTGCACATAGGCTGTGCCGCCGTACACCCACCGCCCGGCGTGACGGCTCGGTATTGCCGGCAGGCTGCGGCCGGACATCAGAGCTCTCGAATCGGGAGACACGGAGAAGGCAGGCGCTGAGAAGGCGAGGCTGGAGGACAAGCAGCGACGCGCTGGGAAGGCCAGATCCAAGCGCAAACAGGCGTGGACACCGCGGTAAGTATCCCGGTCGGGCCGTGTTGGTGTTGGATGCTGCGAGTGACGAGCCACGCAGTGTGCTTATGTTGCAAACAATATAGCTACAGCAAATTGAGTCAGTATGGCTTAAAGTTCAACATTCATGTACTTATAAATATTTGTAGAATTATTGTAATACACGTAGAATTGCATATCCTGTTCTTAGAAGGCAGTTTGACGATCTCATTGGAACGTTGCAGGTATTTTCAGCTTTGCAAAAGTGCCGACACGAATATAGAAGACTGGACGTATATGAACAATTTTTGGGAAGAAAAGAACACTACAGATGTTGACATATTCTAGATGGATAGCTTCAACGTGACAACGAAAGACAACTATTGTCATAGAAAAAATGTCCATGCACTTGACGATGCTGTTTAGAAAACGACATAGTGCTTTGTTGTATCGTAATTTATATGTAAAGCGCCGTGGTTGTTTGCTATCAGTGATGGTTAGCTATCTGTGGCGGCTTCTGGTGCATTTGTGGTGAACTTGGTCTGGGAGGGAACTGTTTGGCAATGTGACTTTGTATCTTAGCTTTATAATACGGCATTGCGCCATGTGACAAGTGTTCTCAGTATTTTGGAGCATTTCATTGAGCGATATTGTATAGTGGAAAATAATGATTTCATCTTATCACGGATATCCCAAACATCAGACCAATCTGGAACGAAGTTTTTACAGGTTATTTTTTCTAAATGTGGCAATGGGACCATGGCAGCGAAAACAAATGTTTTATTCTTATAAACTGCCGGCTGTTTTGCACCAGTGTGCCCTACAGCTCAGACGTTCTCATATCATTATGGGTTCTAGTGGACGAATGCTCTTAGAAAGTTGTCATTTCGTTTGACCTTAACCCGCGCACCGACGGGGGAGGCGGACATCCGCCCCCCCCCCCTGAGGTTTTTCGCGGATAGCGGGAAAACCGCGGCGCTACGCGCCGCGAAATTTGGTATGACTATTCTCTTATCAATTTTACACATGGTGTGCAAGTTTGAACCTCCTAACTTTTAAGGTCAGGTCACCAGGTCACTTTGAATGACCCAACCTCAAGTCACTTTTTTGCAACTTTGTCACCGTGCCAGAGCTACAGTAGATGTCGGAGGCCTTTGAAAGTCGCAGGATGTTATTAGGTCATTAGTAGCTACAATTTGTATATCTCGGAATTTTGATGTCGGTGACCTAAGGTCAGGTCAATTTCGCGACCTCCCCATTATAAGTCAATGGGGGGAAAATCAACTCCCTGTTTTTACCACTAAAACGGGTCGGAATGGCCCCATATACCATACATGACTTCACATACGATCAACCTTCACTACCTTGAGGTCTGTTTTGCTGTTGGGCAGCTGTAAGGTCATGTGACGTCATCAAAGGTCACCAAAGGTTTTTTGCCAATAACTCCTTACAGGAACAAGATACAGCCGCGCGGATGGTCTCATTGTGTTCAGCTCGTCAAGACGCATCGAATGATAAACATGATGACCTCGAGGTCACGTGACCTGAGGTCAACCTTTGACCTTGACCTTTCGAGGTCAACATATATATCATTCGATGCGGATCGACGAGAGGATCACGATGATGCCCTTAGTTTGTTCCTATCTTGACTACTTCGAAAGTTATTCGAGAAAAACCCTCTCCATATCTAGCGCCGCCATTTTGACTTTTTCGACCCCTGTGACGTCATCTTTGACCTGACCTGAAAATGACCTTAGTAAAAGTTGTAGACCTTGTCCGTGCGTATCCGATGCCGTTTACCGCTTGTCGCTATCTTGCTTCGTTCTCGAGATTTCAGGGGGGGGGGCGGTCATCCGCCCCCCCCCCGTCGGTACTAAGTTGGCGCAGACCCCCGTCGGTGCGCGGGTTAACAAAATGGCATTAAAGCTACATATTGCGCCATTTTTATTCATTCAAAGTAGTATTGAAGTAAAAAAAAAGTTGCAGTTATTTAGAACTATTAGTCTTTGCAGTTTTATTATCTAGGGAAGAAAAATATCGCTAAAACTCAAAGTACTTTGCAATAATTCATTCTAGTCAGTGCAATAAGACTCACTCAATGTTCAGTTATATGAAAAATGTGAATATTTATGTGAAAATGTTACAATACGGGCGCGCACAGAATGGACCAGTATGCAGGTATTGGGTAATGATCGTGTCGTTATCATAAACAGGATACCTAACATCGAAAGATTCCCTTTAACATTCAAGAACAACAATGTAGGTACCTACTACGTATCAAAGGAGATAAGGGATCATAGCTGAAAAAATGCGTCGCTTCATGAGCCATTTCATTTCTGGCAAAAAGGTTGTATACATATTTCACTTATCCCGGACAATCATCATTCCTGCAACTTCAACACGGGGACCGATCGCCGTTATGTATGAATGTACAGGGACGCGGCGTTTGCTAGTTTGAACTGTGTGTATATTCTCGTATATTACACAAGGAGGTGGTGTTCCTGGTGGGGACATGTCCGTGGCCCGGCTGTATGTACAATGTACAGCTGTATGTTGCCGACTCGAGCGCCGAGCGCTGTCAAGCTACATTTGTGTGTGTAATTTTGTGCAAAATGTTGCATAGCCGGCACTGAGATGTGAATAAGAATGCGTGACCACGGAACCAGCCACCTGAATGTATTTGCATGTAATGCTGGCTAGTCTGCCGGTATGCTGTTGTAGAGTGTTTTGTTATGTAAGCGTCATACACAGTTACGTTGTTGAACATTATGTGATTTAATGAACAAAGCATTTAGGGTAAGGTGCCTATTTAGCGACCCCCTTAATTTGAACCGTCATTGCTCACGCTCTGTGGGTGCCACTGTATTACTGGCTTGATTTTCGCAGAGATCGTTCATTTTTCTATTAAAATATAGTCATTTTCTGCCCCAATATTCACTAACGTATTTGTAGTGAGCATTTTGGCAAATCATTGCAAAAAAACGCTAATAGGAAACTCTTCCCGATTAGCGACCGGGGAGGGTCGCTAATAAGTCTATGGGTTTCCCCATATTAAAAATGGCAAAAAATGCGACGCCTGAAAAGATGAAATATGATCTCAAAAAGGTAACCTATACGCAAAGCACTCAATCACTCGAACAGGAACGTTTATCCAACACATTTACGTAAGTAAAAACTGATCACGTGATGCACCGAAGGCGAAAAGAAGGCGAAAACCCAAATTTTGCTGGCTATCTCGTATGATATTCGAGGTCCGCGCTGAATTCGGCACCTCTGCAGTCGGTGACGACATTTGGCATCCCCTGCCACACATTGACAGCTTCAGCAACACCTCATTTTCATTTCTTTTTCCCCTTTCTTTCCCTTCTTGAGCTATTTGCGACCATGTCAGGCGCAAATAGGAAATATGAGTTGCGACACATTTTTAACCGCCACGCTGTGCACAGTTGAGCGATTCACTATGGGAAAACGGCAATCAATTGAAAAAGGAATGTCTATTCAGAATAAAAAAGGTGCATCATCCTAATGTGCATCGCTTTTCATTAGAGAGGGCCCAAACACACACGTTTTGGATAAGAAACTCGTCATTTTATTTAAACTCACCTGGAACGTCCCACCAGAAACATCGACGACCGGAAAATGATTTAATTTGATAACCAAAGTATGGCTGACCTTTTGACGATATTTTTACCCCGTTTTCTACTGCCAGTTTTTCTGTAGGGAGGTAGGTCGCAAATCGGAAAGTGTCGCTAATTAGGCACCTTACCCTACTTGAGCATAAGACATGTGAAGTCAGTATTTACAAAAATACAGTACTTTTGTAAGGTTTTTTGTGTTTAAAAAGTCAACAGTTCATTTGTTTTAGAAATCAGCGACATATTCAGCGTGCACACTCGTTATTGTTTCTAAAGCTGCCATTGTTGTTGTAAATCGAAAAGGGAAAGCTATGTATGTGTACAAGCTATATTCCATACAAGCGTGAAGCGATGATATTCAATCCTGTTTTAGGGCCTTGTTCAATTTCACCTGTATCAATGGAAAGCCTGTGTTGCTTGCTATCGTAATGAATAGAGTTTTCCTTGTTTTCTGTATAGGTCTTTCTCCGGAGAGGCTCAAACTGGGATTTCGTGAGTGCTCATGTAACCACGCTGCAATAAACACCCTGTCGACGGTTGTGGCAACCAACTCCTGTGTATTTAGTCGTTCGTCGGTCACAATCATAAGGCGACTGCTCTGTGTTGGCGGGAAGGGAGCGGGGCGTTTCGCGGAGCAATGAGCTCGGATGTTGCCAGCTGCACGTGCTCAGATGTTGCAGGACTTGCCGCACGTGGAGTATGGTGACAGCACGTTGTTTCCGGTCAGTGGAGGACAGCCCACCAGGATTCTGTGGACGAGAAAACATCAGCTCAAACTCAAAGCGGCTCTGGGTTCACGCGCTACAAACAATGCAGCATGAGGCGTAACGGTGAAGGTCATAACAGTAAGTAACACGACTCATAGTGCGATCGCTCTGAGGTAAAGGTACTTACCCTTTCTGGTGGTGGCTGCATTATGATGTTCGCATTTGTTCTATACTTACCTTTGTTTTGGAGTTCGGTATAGCCGTAATGCCATTGATCTGCTCTGGACATCACTGGTCTGGCCTGGTTCCATCCTAAGGCTCCCAGACTGATCTTCAATTGGGTTTGTCCTGGATCCCCTGTACACTCAGATCTGTATCTGTCCTTGATGCCCCACACCAACCTGTATATGTCTTAGACACTCTCACACTGACGTGTACCTATCTGTCCTTGATACCCCACACCAACCTGTATATGTCTTAGACACTCTCACACTGTGTCCTTGATACCCCGACACCAACCTGTATATGTCTTAGACACTCTCACACTGACGTGCATCTGTCCTTGATACCCCGACACCAACCTGTTATGTCTTAGACACTCTCACACTGACGTGTATCTGTCCTTGATACCCCAACACTGATGTGTATCTATCCTTGATACCCCAACACTGGCGTGTGTCTGTCCTGGATACCCCCACACTGACGTGTATCTGTCCTTGATACTCCAACACCGACCTGTATCTGTCCTGGAGTTCCTGCGAGGGCAGCCGTTGGCAAAAGTCGTCCTGGTACTGGGTGATGCTGCCACCCAGACTGCCAAACTCGGCCACTCGGTCTAGGATGTGCGCCGACGCACACATGTCTGCCATGAAGCGCTGGTAGTAGCTCTGCTTCTCCGCTGTGACAACGTAAGGAAACACCGTCAGAACTTACACAGCCGGCGAGAGACGGAACTCTACCACGAACGGCAAAATGCCAAATCAGGGAACTATGCGTTCTTATTTAGATGATGTTTATACGCAAAACACTATCTAATGTATATGAATCCATGAAATCACCACTGACCCCGCTTGGCTACGGTAGCCGGTCCGTGTGGACTCTTGAAATCGTAGCGTGTGATGGATTCGCTCCAGGCGGGGGTCCTCACTGGCTCCAGGTTGCTCCGCTGAGTGGGACACACGGGCCCTAGTCGGTCCTGGTCGACCTGACGGGAGTAACACAGTGCATAACGTCGGATTGATGAGACGGACGAAGTTATTACACAAGCTCAATTTTGAGTATGCACATTGCACTACTTTTGAAATTCAAAATAACATCAATTCCGATGACGGCAACACAATTAGTACATGTTTGTAATGTAATATTTTTAAATTGAATAATGAGCTTTTCTTTAGGAACTGACTGAAGCAGGCATCCCTCGCCGTCTCAAGTGAGCCAGCTTTCAACCTGGTTGTTCATGGATTGATGATGGCAGGCCAGCCGTCCCATCAGCCGGTACCCCCGACCCATTTGTGGCACGGAATGGACAGCGGGAGCGCAAATACATCCATTTACTCGCCG